CAAAAAAGGGGACGCGAACGGGATGTTTGTCATTTAATTTTGATGGAATCAGGATGCTAAAGAATCTTGAATTAAATAACTTTTATCAGCATTACACTTATTGATTCTATAGACAATCGGTAACAAATCATATCAAAAAAGTTTCAAAAATATTCTGTATTATCACTATTGTTGCCGTTTCTTCTAACAATAGTGTCTTTCATAGATGGAAGACAAGTATCTGAACGATTACAGCGATAATCTGACAATTTCTTGAAATTTGTTGTGTTCCATATAAATATACAAAATCCTCAATGACTATTTTATTTCACAATTAGTACTTAATACTTTGTTATTCTCCAATGTACCTACGGAATTTCTAAATGACAAACACGATATTTTTCATGTAGATATTAGAAAATATTGTAACAAATCTGACTCATTTCGAGTGTGTATTTTGTTGAGGTCTTTTGACGCCTGGAAATTAACGCAACGCCTTCAACACTTAATGTTCAATAGCTGCAGCTTCCTGAACAATCCTTGCTTAGACCATTTGCCACGACAGCATCAATAAACACTTCGGTAAACACAATTTAACGGGCCACTGGTTTCGGCACCACTCATGTATGTAGCTGCTAAATTACTAGGTATCGCCACCTGTTGTATCTTGTACCATCAAATGGGCCACTAAAACCACCAGAAACCTCATGAACATGTCTTATGCTAATACTGCTCCAAATTGGGCACATCTAAAAAATCGTATGAGGTAATGTACTAACTGACAGCTCAACAGCGCGCACCTGTCTGTAAATGTTCCCTATTTCTCCAGTTTGATTGGCAGGTCGACCACCGACCAGCAAATAACGATTTAAAATAAAGTATGGTTCCCACTGCTCTCGATACGTTCTCGATCGGGTGAAATAGTTTTACAGGGAAAACAATGACCCTATTCACACTGACGTTATCGCACCAGTTTCGGCCCCATCATGCTCCGATACCGATATATTTCAAACAATATTTTATCGAAGCGAGATCAAAATTGTCTCAAATATTTCGAAGTGAACTGGACCAGAAGAATCAAAACCGTTTTGGAATATTCGTCACCTATAATTTCCAGTATTTCTACAATTTACTGAAGGTGTGGATCTGCGAATAGACCATTGGTCACCAAAAACTCCTTTGGAATAAGTTAAAATATTCTTCATTGTTTCTAAGGTTATCCAGTTACAATATTCTCGAATATCTCCAGCATTGGAATTTACTAGAATGAAGTAGACCGAGAGAGCAACCGAGAACGTTCTGGAATCTTCGAGAACGATTATGTATGAGTGGTATGACTGGTTTTTGACACTATCTTAAAACATTTTATATTTATTTCGACCAAGTTGTTCCAAAACCTGTTTGAAACATCTCATAATGTTTATGAATGGCCCAGTTCTGTGTGTTTGGAATTGCGGTTAATACGTGCATTGAAACGTAAATATGTCATTTTAAATACTTCTAAAGCTTCAGCGCAACGTAGGAAAGCGGAATTTCAGCTTTATGGCGAATTATGCTCACAAATCACCCCAGTTGCCATCCACTGGTCGAGTTATAAATCTTTAAAGCCATCACATAACTCCGTAACCATCTGACCGATTGCTTTTAAATTCAGTGTGGAATTGTGTTATTAATCGAAACTGCGATAAAATTCTGAAATCGTTTTATCAATAAAATGGCGTTTTATGATACGTAGAGACTAAAAAGTTTACTATGAGAGAACGACAAGATTATTAATGCTTTCTTACCTCTGTAATCTATATAATATTACCAATTTACTTATAATAATACAATATAATACTCTCTTAAAAGAGCTACAGTGTATTATTGAAAGTATAATGTGAACAATTATATTTATATCCTGATTTTTGAAACTAAAAAAATCCCTTTAACGTACGAAATTTCCCATAAAGTGTATACAAACATACCAGATCTGTTCAAAAAGTATCGCGAATTTTGAATTTCCAAGAGTTAGATATATTTGATTTTCGATTTATTTTTGTGGTGTTGGTACTCATGCCTCTTACTTGTTAATTTTTGACATCTGCTTTGCTTGCATCTGTTTTGTCTCGTATTCGATTTTTGCCTATTCAACCCGGAAAATAAAATTAAGTGCGCGCAGGCATTGCGAATGATGCATATGGTGGAGCTACCTTGGACCGAAGCAACGTTTATCGGTGGTACAAAATTTCTTAGACGGCCGAGAAGATGTGAGCACGTCAATAACAGACGAAAACATTGATGAAGTGAAGAAAATTATATTGACCAATCATCGAATTACCGTTAGAGAAGTTGCTGAGGACCTAAACATATCGATTAACTCCTGCCATTCGATTTTTACCAATGATTTAGGCATGAGACGGTTCGTCGCGAAATTCGTACCAAACCCTTTAACATTGCTAAGGAGCTGTTGGACTCATATGAAGGTTTTGCTTAGAGTTATCCTCGATTTCAGGGGCGTGGTGTATCATGAGTTCTTGCCACAGGATAGAACAGTCAATAAGGAATATTACCTGCAAGTTATGCGAAATTTGCCCGAAGCAGTCCGCCAAAAACGAGGAAGAAGACTTTTGCACCATAATAAAGCCTCTGCTCACATCGTTGCTTGTGCGCAAATGTTTGGCCAATAACAACAGATTAATAATGCCGCAGCCACCGTTTTCCACAGATCCTGGCCCTCTGTGACTTTTTCTTGTTCCCAAAACTGAAGTGGCCCATGAAAGGACAACGCTACGCTACGATTAACGAGATGAAGACGACATCGAAGGAGGAGCTGAACAAGATCACAAAAAATGTTTTCTTGAAGCGCTTCCAGGATTGGAAAAAACGTTGACAAACGTGTATAATATCTGGTGGGGAAGAACACAAAATTCGCGATAATTTTTGGACAGACCTCGTACATATATTTTCAACTTCTCCTGACGTAAGGCTCGTACATATATGTATAACACAAGCAGCTTTTCCGTTTACTTTTTCTAATTGAGAGTAATATTTCCTACAGGTAACGAGGTTATTTTGCCAAAAGAGGATATTATATTTGCACCTGCACCTACTTGGCAGATACACCGACGTCTGACGTGGAAAAAGTTTTAGAGAACCGTCGCCTGAAAAGCAATTATTTTTGTTCGTATTTTAGCGCCCACCTTCTTCCAAGTACACTTTTCCTTCAAAATTCGAAAAGAGACCCAAATCACGTTTGTTTCCAATTTGCAAATTGTGTCATCTTCTTCGAAACACTAAAGCCCTTTTTCGCTGTTCCGCAAGTTTTGGGACAAGTAGTTACCCTCTCGATCCAATGACATGTCGTGTCATTTCATTTTTTTATAGAGCTGGTGACCATTTTTTGACATCAACAAATACTTTTGTATTTAAGATAAGGAATAGCCAAATCTACTGTAATCGTGTGAAGTATACGATTTAACAATGACAAAATTTTTTCAAGGTTGTTTTTCCATCATTGCGCTAAATTGGACGTTATTTAATTTTGGCGAGATTTTTATCAGTCTTAGACTTTGCACTGTTTTGAAGACGTTTGAATATAAATTCTGGCTTAACTTTTAACAGATTGGACAATCCTTAATAAATTTTTTAAAGAATTTAAACCATTTTTGGTGAACTCGTAGTGGAAGAAATGACATAAATTTTGAGTCAAATTGGGAACTTCTCAGCGTGATAAGATTTATAAAGAGTTTAAGATTTGAGTTACCCTAAAGTGGGTGTTATTTAATTATAGTGAGATTTCTAGCAGTCTTAGACTATTTCGGAGACGTTTTGAGTAGAAATTCAGGATTAACTACTTCTTTAGGCTACTTTAGGGGAAATCATAGTGGAAGAAATGACTTGAATTTTGAGTCAATTTAGGAGCTATTCAACATGATAGGATTTCTAAAGAGTTCAAGTTTCAAATTGTCCTTAATTGGACATTATTTAATTATAGTGAAATTTGTAACAATCTTGGACTGTTTCGGAGACTTTTTTGCAGAAATTTAAGCTTAACTTTGAACAAGTCTTCTAAACGACTCTTCTAAAGATTTTGGCTACTTTTAGAACACTCATAGTGAAAGAGATGACTTAAATTTTTTGATTCAATTTGGAAACTCCTCGATAAGATAAAATTTCTAAAGAATTCAAGATTTTTGAACTTCAGTGTGAATTCAGTTTTAATATTATTAGGTGTTAATTAGTATTCAAGCTGAGGCTGAGTTAATCTTCGTATTTCCCGAAAACTAGAGCAACCAACATCCTTAACAATTTGCGAACAGTAATCTAATCTAGGTCTACCTCTACTCCTCTTAACTCCCGCTTCTGCCTTTAATATATCTTTAACTAGACCTACATGCCTGAGAAGGTGTCCTACTAACCTATCTCGCCTTTTTTTTATTGATTTCCTCTGTTCTCCAATTCTTTCTAATACCTCTTCATTTCTAATCTTCCCTTTTCACGATATTTTCATCATTCGCAGGTAACACCACATTTCGAACGCTTCTAATCAATTTCCGCCACCCCCAGCCTACTACTCCTTCCGTCCTGACTTATCTGACTTCCTAGCTACTTAAAATCAGCCACTTCTTCTAATTTTTCGTCTCCTATCTTTCTATTCGCTCTTTTCCTACTTTATCTTCCCTTGCATACCAGTATTTTTGTTTTACATTTATTTATTTTCATACAATACTGTTTTCAAAATACCGCTTCCATTTTATTTAAAGCTATCTCTGAAATATCTCATGCATAAAATCCCAAAAATGAGAGCGCACTATTTACTCCAACTTTATGTGTTTTTTTTGTGTTTATTTAGTCGTCTGCTACATTGATTATGAAAATTACAGCCGGGCTACTTGGTGTGCGTCAAATTCGTAGATTGATTTACTCTAATACAGAATAGCCATCGTCCAACGCGCATCTGTAGGCGTTATAGGGCCATGCCTCGTTGTACACTGAAATTTTTCTAAATCAAATAACAAATTATTCTTTTATTGTTTCAGGTGAGTGCGTGGATCACCCAGCTTATCATAGCTCAGCCCACGCACGATGCTCGTAGAGCAATTGTTTCCTGTATCCTGAGGGTCGCACTCAGTTGCTGGAATATCGGCAATTTCAATGGAGCCATGGAAATTATTGCCGGTCTTAAGTAAGTTTAATGACCTTCTAAATTCGACCTTCAAACTTAAAACGATACCTACTGTCAAAAATTTCGTCTGACAATAATTTCTTTCCATAAAATTTAATTTCTCTTCATAGGATACATATACGTATGACTTCTACAGACGAGGTTTTTAAAATAAAGCATAATCCATCTTTAAAAAATTTTTCTTTATTATTGTTTTTACTGTAAGTAAATATATAGTAAGTATATATTTAAAAATTACATTGATATAATAAAATTAATCGGATGAGGGGTATAATTGGAGTCTAATTGTTGATAAGGTAACTAATCATTTTTTGTGTTCGTTCATTCGTATTTTAAAATGTCTTCTGGTTGTTCCTACGTAAATCATGTTACAAGGGTGTGAGCAAATTTAAAAAGTCCTTCTTTTATGTTCATTTTCAGATACTTCGTTGCTTTTTAGATATAAAATTACTTAGAGAATTGCTGACTACATTTTAGTTGGTTTTATAATATAGATGTAATACATTTTTTATAGCATATTAATGTTTCGTAATTGTTTTTCAGATTTTTTGTGAGAATACTTATTAAATGATGTTAAATATACTTAAAAATATAGAGATTTACAAAGATAGAAGGGTGATACTTAGTTTGTATAAAGAGCAACAGGCAGTTATAGAGCTAGGGAAGCATCGTAGAGAAGTAAATATTAGGAAGGGAGTCAGACAGGGATGCGCACTGTCACCGCTACTTTTTAATCTATACATCGAAGACGCCATCAACACTATTAAAGACAGTACAACTGTAGGGATAGATGTGCAAGGGCAAAAGATTAGTATGCTTAGATTTGCAGATGATATAGCAGTATTAGCATCTAGCAAGGAGGACCTAGAGATAGCTTTAAATAAAATGGAAGCGGTACTGACAGATCAGTACTGTATGAAAATAAATAAAAGTAAAACTAAAATACTGATATGCAAGGGAAGAAAATGTAGGGAAAGGGCGAATATAAAGATAGGAGATGAAAAATTAGAAGAAGTGGCTGATTTTAGATACCTAGGAAGTCAGATAAGTCAGGGCGGAAGAAGTAGTAGGGATATAAAGCAGAGGATAGCGCAGGGTCGTGTCGCATTTAATAAAAAGAAGTCACTTCTATGCTCGCGAACGGTTAATTTAGAAATTCGAAAAAGGTTATTAAAGGTGTATGTTTAGAGCACGGCGTTGTACGGGTGCGAAACATGGACAGTGGGAGCGGCGGAAAAGAAAAGGTTAGAAGCGTTCGAAATGTGGTGTTATAGGCGGATGATGAGGATATCGTGGGTAGAAAAGGTTAGAAATGAAGAGGTATTGGAAAGAATAGGAGAACAGAAGTGGAAGTCAGTAAAAAATAGGCGAGATAGGTTGGTAGGAAACCTTTTTAGGCATGAAGGTCTAGTCAGAGACATATTAGAGGCAGAAACAGGAGTTAGGAGGGGTAGAGGTAGACCTAGATTAGATTACTGTTCACAAATAGTTAAGGATGTGGGCTGTTCTAGTTTTAGGGAAATGCGAAGTTTAGCTCAGGATAGGAAAGAGTGGTGGTGCGTGTCCAACCAGTCTTAGGACTGACGATCTTATGATGATGATGACTAATTAAATAAATTTAATTTGCTAAGGTCAACAAACGTGTGGTCATTCTAAAGACATTCCGCCCTTCGTATTTAAGAACATTTCCAAAATATGTAATGGAGTGGTCGAGTTATGAATTTATGTTTAAAAAATATTTAAGAATTATACTTTTCCGCTAAATAATTCCCTGAAATGAGATTTTCTATTGGGGATATTAAACCAATAGATTCCCTATAATACTGCTTAAAAGTTTCCATGCGACCGCAAACAGGTAGCTACCGTCAGTAAATTGGGCCAATTTATTTTTACAACACTTTGTTGCGATTACGATGCTGTGTTTGGTTACAGGAACAATTTACATTTAAATTCAAACGAGCGTCTTCCCGTTGAAAATTTATTAAATGATGCTATGGCTACCCATAAACGGCTAAAGGAATTGCGAGAATGTGATGAAATGGAACTTCAGCTGCTCGGGTTGTCTAAAGATCTGAGCATCCTTAAAATATCAACTAAAGGATTGTATTTAATGGCAGGCTATTAATATTCCTTTCTTCAGCAATAAGGAAATTAACCGTGAACTTATTCTCCTTCGGGATAACAGCGGTTATAAGAACTGGGTTATTGGGGCAGGGGTTTCTTTCGGCCTCCAGCAGATTTTAAGGGGTTGTAGGCCGGCGGAAACTACTTGCCACCGTATCCCACATCAGCTGATCAACGCACTGGCACTCCAAGAAGAAATACAGTAGAATAATACCATCTGTTTTCTACTAATGTGCGCTCACATATCGCCAAAACAAATCGCCTAGATTTAACGATTTTTGAAAAATTGATAGTATAAATAAACTAAATATAGCAAGGAATCTACTACAACTACTATATTTCATTATCTCTAAAATGTACAGGTCTCACATTCAAAAATACTTCGCACGGTGGAATATTTTGTAAATATAATATAATATTCAGTACGTTTTGCTTTATGATTCGCTTTATTATTTGTATTAATGAAACAGACTCACATTAATAAATTTATCTACCTGTTCATCCTCACCATAACGTCGTCAGTCCTAAGACTGGTTAGACACGCACCTCCACTCTTTCCTATCCTGAGTTAATCTTCGCATTTCCCTAAAACTACAACAACCCACATCCTTAACTGTTTGCGAACAGTAATCTAATCTAGATCTACCTCTACCCCTCCTAACTCCTGTTTCTGCCTCTAATATGTCTCAGATTAGACCTTCATGCCTGAGAAGGTGTCCTACCAACCTATCTCGCCTATTTCTCACTGACTTCCATAGAGTCCTCTGTTCTCCTATACTTTCTAGCATCTCTTCATTTCTGACGTTCTCTATCCACGGAATACTCATCATTCGCCTGTAACGCCACACTTCTAACCTTTTCCGCTGCGTCTACTGTCCATGTTTCGCGCCCATACAGCGCCGAACTATCAACATTTAACAATCTCCTTCGAATTTCTAAATTAATCGTTCGCGAGCACAGAAGTGACTTCTTTTTATTGAAGGTGACTCGACCCTGCGCTATCGTCTACTTTATATCCCTACTACTCTTTCTGTCCTAAACAGAAAATCAGCTACTTCTAACTTTTCGTCTACTATTTTTATATTCGCTCTTTCCATACTTTTTCTTCCTTTGCATAACAGTGTTTTCGCTTTAATTTTATTTGTTTTTATACAATATATTTATGAGAAATAAAACAATGAAATTTATAGTTGCAAAGAATAGCAGTAAAAAGAACTGAAGTCTGAAGAACTGATTGTCGAAGAAGTCCCAGCCTTATCTTCGACAATCGTGCATCAAAATAAAATTAAACCATAAAATCCAGTATCTTAAGTAATGTATGGGACATTTTATGGATTTAACGGTTAGTCTTGTTTTCGCAGATTATTGACTCATTTTTTTTTATTACAGATCGAATAAGCTCAAGCCATTTTGGCTTTCCATTACGGAGAAGGAAAGTTTGCCAGTGTTGGATTTTTTATCGGCGGCTCTGTTATCGGCAGAATACGATCGCGCTTTAAAGAGAGCGCTGGACATGACAGAATGTCCTGTCATCCCATTTTTTGGTGCTTTTTTACGCGAACTACGTGAAATATTGGCCTCGTGTTCCACGTCGCAAGTATCGACAACTCCCAAACCGACCGCGAAATCGACACGAAAAAAAGATGACTTAAGGGACCAAGAACAACAAAGGCAAGTGGTAGGTGAGAAATCTAATAGACCTTTTCTATTTTATTTTTTTATATTTATACAGATACATACAAAACCACTCTGAATAGATTTTATTCCATACTAATGACCCGCCCCAGCTTCGCACGGGTGCAATACTAAATATATTTTTGTTTTGTTTACATTATTATGGAAAAGGGGAAATCTTCAAAAGATACCCCTTGAACATACTAAATATACTACAGAATGTCTTTATATACAACATTCACAGTTTTTTTGTCATTAGACAATACAAACCGGCCTCCCGGCCGGTACCGCCGCAACCGCTATGTCCCTGCATTTTAAATCTGTAATATCGAAAATATTCATTCAGTATGCTACAAAACAATTGCCCACCCAGTACCATTAGTAGCTAAAGAGGATGAAGCATAACCATTTCTATTTATTTTTGGCTTCTATGGTTTATCAGAACTACTACGTATTACGTATGTGTCAATGGGAACTAATAAGTTCGAAATCGCAATTCATATATAAAAATGGAAAGTACGTTCCATCAGAAATTTTGATACTTTATTACAATATTAAAAAATTAATTAAACACCATTTTGAAAAATGGTAGATCTTATCAACGCCTCTAATCATAAACGAATCTCGTTACTATTATAAAGAAGGCTTACCAAAAATATGTATTTTCGTCCAGCTACACCCAATGCCGAGGGCAACTTATTAAGTACGTAAATATTAAATTAAAACAAGTTAACAAACAGTGGCGAAAGGATTAAATTTAAATTGCAGAAGTTCGAGATTATTTTAGTAATTATATTCAATTAGCGGCTTTTCTTAGTAATTAAGCATTGTGCGAATAAGTCATTCGAGCAAACGTTCGCGTAATTTTCTTCTGCATTGAAATCGTCGTCTAACTGAGATTATCTGAAAATGAAGATAATTTTCTAATAAGTACAACAAAACCGTCTACGACTCAAATCTCAAGCACATAAAATCTCTATGATTTAAAATAGGGATGGCTATTCTTCTCGATTTTTAAATTGAATCGAATCGATATCTGAAGAGTCGATTCCTGAAGATTTCTGTTCTCGATTTGTTTTTCAGCTTTTGTAGGGAAAACGAAGAAGTACCAACTTAAAATTATACATCTTTTATTGTCTTTAACGTTATTAAAGTTACGAAAAGTAATAAAACAATATATATCTATCTACAACAGTAGGCACCTATTAATGTTTAGTCCATTTTTATTTCATGCACATTAGCTTTTCTTATTAAAAAAATCGGTTGTCTGTAAAGTCGGTTTACTGCCGATAATTGAACGTGACAACGTCATAAGAAAATACTGATGGAATGGTTTCATTTTTCAAAAGAAAATTTTAATTTTATTTGTTTGATAGATATTTTGTATGGATATAGAGAAGGAGGTAAATGGAAATGTATTATTGTATAGCAGCTGTCCACGCAAGTAGGAGAGAGACAGATGTCGAACGCTGCCGAACGCGGAGGCCGATTGTGCCTCTTTGTCGCTCGTTCCGCTTGCACTTCAAACCTTAAATGGAACGCCTCAGAGCGAGGTAACGCCGCATGAGTCATGTTTTTTCGTGCGTGCAGGCGGCTCCATAGAATTATAAGACGTTGTCACGTCAAAAAAAGGATTTAGAAGGTAGTCATAAGCCTAACCCTCACATAAATAATATAAGTATTATAACATTCAAATAAACATAAACTTTAGAGTAGCATCCTAGCGAGCGATAAAAGACAGTTTTGTGATTGCATCTTTATCGAAACAATCAAATTTTGCTTTCAAAATATTTGAGATAGATTGACGGGATCGATTCATTGCTTAATATCTAGTAAAAGATTTGATTCTCGTGGCCCAAAGAATCGCGTCTTCGATTAATCGATATGAAATAACCATTCTTAATTTTTGTTTTCTTTTATTTCTTAGGGTTTCGCAACTCAAAATAAATCGCATTTTGCACTTATCGATTCATCCAATTTTATTTCTTAATATTGATACTCCAACAATAGAAAAAGGAATAAGCGCGTACATAGGATTTGTAGATTTAGAAAAAGCTTTTTGAAATGGGAAAAGATGTTAAATATGTTTAAAAATTTAGGAATGAGTTACAGGGATAGAAGGGTGATACTTAGTTCGTCTAAAGAACAACAGGCAGATATAGAACTGGAACAGCAACGTAGAGAAGTAAATATTAGGAAGGGAGTCAGATAAGGATGCACGTTATATTTTAATTTATATATCGAAGATGCGATCAACATCATTAAAGATAGGAGAACTGTAGGGATAGATACAGAGAGGCAAATAATTATAATGCTTAGAATGATGATATAGCAGTATTAGCATACGAGGAGAAGTTAGAGATAGCTTTAAATAAAATGGAAGCGGTACTTGCGAAACAGCAATGTATAAAAATAAATTAAAGTAAAACAAAAATACTAGTATGCAAGAGAAGAAAAAGTAGGGAAAGACCGAATATAAAGATAGCAGACGAAAGATTAGAAAAAGTGGCTGATTTCAGGTATCTAGGGAGTCAGATAATTCAGGACGGAAGGAGCAGTAGGGACATAAAGCAGAGAATACCGCAGGGTCGAGTCGCCTTCAATAAAAAGAAGCCACTTCTATGCTCGCGAAAAAATAATTTAGAAATTCGAAAAAGATTGTTAAAGTTGAATGTTTAGAAGGCGGCGCTGTACGGGAGTGAAGCATGAGAGAGAAGGTCAAAAATGAAAAGATATTAGAACAAATAGGAGAACAGAGGACTCTATGGAAGTCAAAAAAGAATAGGCAAGATAGGTTGGTAGGGCACCTTCTTGGACATGAAAGTCTAGTCAGACACATACTGCAGGCAGAAACAGGAGTTAAGAGGAGTAGCGGTAGGCCCAGATTAGATTACTGTTCTCAAATAGTTATGAATGTGGGATGTTCTAGCTTTAGGGGAAAGGCAAATATTATATCAGGATAAGAATAAGTGGAGGTGCATGTCCAACCAGTCTTAGGACTGAAGACCTTATATTGATGGTTAATACTGCAGAATAATCTTCTTCTTCATCTAAATAAAAAAGAAAATACGGTATAGATTACTTCTTAAAGAAAGGCGTCATCACTTATCATTGCTTTGATGTCTCTATAAGACGGAGGCTAGAGAAAAGCAAGTTCTGATTTTCTTTTTAAGCCATCAGTTAAATGAAGGGATCCAATTGTGATTTTTATGAGCTGTAGAAGCGACAGATTGTTTGAGAAGGATCCGATGTGACGGATATGTCAATTAAGCACGTCTCGGTCAAGAATTAAGCTAGATATTGGTTACGGAAACAAGATAAATGAGTTTCCACAGCACTCGATCCCATTTCGGCGACCGGTGGCGTAAAACAACACCCAGTTCATAAAAAAACACTACCAAATTATCCTTCAGCCGTGACCACTTGATCTTCTTTGTGCTTGCGAATGATGGATTGTGAAAGTGATCAAAAGTACATAAAACAATGCCGCGAAATTATCTAACATTTAATGAGTTCTTACGTGATCTATCGTACTTTAGTTCATTAGTTTGAAGTTAGGCTGAAGTTTCAGATTTTTATGACATTTGAAAAAGAAAAAAATCGGAAACTGTTGAATAACTATTTCAAATGAACCAACATCATTCACGTGATTATTGTTTTTTTAATCGTATTGAAGTATTTTGTTTCCAAAACTATAAAAAAAAAACATTAATGTGAAAATTCATTTATTTTTATCCACTACAATTAATGAGGAAAAATTGATTTTTCTGTCACGCCCACGCCGGGAATCGAACCCGGGCCCTTTGACTTTGCGCATCAATACTCTGACCACTAAGCAACGAGAGGTAACAGCATCAGGTCACAGATTCGTCGAACTGATGAATATATGTATATTAATATCATGTGTAGTTGATAAGAATTAAAGGAATTTTCACATTAATATTATATACTAACCAATTTTTAAATGTATTTTGTATTATTTTACAACAGAAAACTTTTATTAAAAGTGGAAGTAATTCTAATCCAAAATTCGTTAGTGTAACCTTGAATCATACAAAAGTCACGCAAAACCCATGTAAACTAAATCTTTTCGAGCATAAATTTGTCAGCAAGCTCTAACATAGTTTGAGGCATGTTACATTGTTACAAGCAGAAAGAGGAGATGTTCTAGTTTTCGCGAAGATTGGCTCGGATGGTGGTGCATTTCCAAATAGTCTTCTACAGCTTTGAATGATTTACTATCTATCTATCTATCTGCACAGTATCCAAATGAAAAGAAAAAAACAGAAAAACGTGATAGGGTAATGGATAAAATAGCTGTGTTAAAGAAATTGATGGAAAACAATAGAAAATAATCAGAAAAAATGAAAACAAAATGATGAAAACAAAACAAAAAGAACTATAAGGGAAAGGAAGATGAGAAAAATTGGAACAAAATCCAGATAAAATTCAGAAAGGAAATACAAGGGTAATGGAAAAACTGAGGGAGAAATAAATGGAAAATTACAGGACCTGGTAGAAAGATTGGAAAAATATTATGAAGAAAGCGGCAAGGAATGGTTTAAACCAGGGCAGAACAACTTAAATGAAAAAGAGAAGGACATAGTACCAGAGTAGCTGGAGATAGAATGTAGAGAAGCATGCAGAGGAACAAAGGAAAAAGGAAATGGAACTGGAAAGGAAAAGAAGAGAAGATAAAATTTTTTGGAATATAGTTAGAGGAGAACAGAGAGAAGAGTTATAAAAGAGAAGATGGGATTGAAGGTGGAAGTAGTGGAAGTATTGAAAGTTAAAAAGAAGGTATATTGGCCAAAAAAGTGGAAAGAATACATGCAGGCGATTAGAAACGGAAGAAGATTGAGAGGAACGGACGTATATATAAGAGGTGACTATGAAAAAGAGAAGAATAAAGATGATGTTGGATCAAATAGTAAAAAAAGAAAGGAAAAAAGGTAGATAAGACGGTTTAAGTTGGGTATAAGAAGATAGTAACAGGTGGGATAT